TTTCGTAATTCTTATAAAGAACGTAACGATAAGATGTAACCGTTGTTTTTACTATTGCAATTGCAAAATGGTAAATGGTGCTATACTCGCATTGCATAGGCACGAATGATTGAATATTCCCGTACATCAATATTTTCCGCGGTACTCGACGGGAACAAAGCGCGCGAATCTCCGGCGGGCGGCTGCTTCATCTCGCGCGAAAGCTGAAAACGATCGCGCGGGAAAACACGCTTCGCCGACATCTGTCACGAGCACCGATGAGCCTCTCCGTCGCTCACCTCTCATTTTCAGCCGATTTCTCGTATTTCGAGTACTTTCCGCGTAGTCCTGGTCATTGCGCGTTTTCACACACCCTCCGGACTGATTGGAACTGACGTTCTTCGCGGCGGCGACGGAATAAAACAAAAATTTCGCACGATCACGCTCGTCCGGCAGGCTTATTATGGAGTTGCTCGAATGCTATCATCGATGCATTTATAACAATGTAAAAAAGGTAACCGTTCTGTACACGTGCACACGCGGGAATTATTCTTCGTATATTTGATTTCACTATATTGTAAAATATTAGCGGCTTCTCCCGTCAAGAATCTCGATAAACGGACTTTACAATTAACATGGCACACGATAATCTTGATATTTTCATTATCTGAATTAGTCAATTTGTATTAGTCAATTAATAAACATTGCGTTTCAATTCGACGTTAATTAATTAAGCAAATTTATTTCATTAATTTTAATCAATGGATTTATTATCTATCGACAAATGTAAAGGTGATGCTAGAACAGGCGCAACAACTTACGCGGAAGTACGGTGATCGTATCAACGTGAAATTTGGGGCACGCGTCGAAATATGGTTCATTGATTTTACGTCAAAATGGTGATGATCACATAATTGCGTATCTATTTCGGATGATATGTTATTTACTTCGAGTGTCGCAATGCCGATTGGCAGGGTGCATTAAAGCGGACATCGATAATGTATCGCTTTTAAAATGATACCGATATGGTACCGATGTTACAAATTATTCCGCGCCGCAGTATCAAATTTGCGTTCATTAAATTATGTTAATTACTCGAATAACGACGGTATTCGGGATGCATGTGCATTTTTTGTCACGCACCTCTGACCAAATGCGCGAACCGAATTCCCCAACGATCTCTTAAAAACGTAATGGTACACGTATTTATGAACGCGCAAGGACTGTAATATAGGATGTGCCCCTCGATGATAAAACACGCGTTAACATCTAAAGCGTGATGTCATCATCACCGATGTATTGTCAGTGAATAAATATAAAAAATTTTACGTAGAATACCATGTACATATACACCCAGCACCGTTATCCTCGCGCAAATGCTTAACAATTAATAGTATCAATTAAACGCAGAAATTAACGTTAGAAAAATATATTGTGTTTGTCGGTACCTGAGCGTTTTGGCCGTGTGCAAGTTGGAAGTTTCGGCGATGTGACTCTGCAGGTATTGATTCAAATCCCCGTATTCGCCGTTTTCCAATACGATGCACATGGGATCGTCCTCGAGGCTGGCACCGAGTAGCCGCGCGACATTTCGATCGGCGAGTCGTACCAGTCTCTTTGCCTCCTGTTGAAATTCTATCCTGGAAAACACACGGAGAGGATCCGGAAGTAATATCTTTATTGGTGGTCGCGGTACCAAGGCCGTGGGTATTGAATACAGACGCGGGTATATACGCTGGAAGTAAATGCAGATATTCCGTTGCGGAATATCGCTCGCTTGTCTCTCGGAAGTTTTCGCCGTCTCTCGCGTGGAGGGAAGAAACGGGGGAAGAAAGCGATACTAAAGTGCCAAGGGTAAAAGAGAAACCTATCTTACGGGGGTTATAGCGCGAGTCACGAATAAGAATAAACCGCGAATAAGAACTGCGACTATTGTGCTACACACGTGAGTAAATTCCGGCGAATGCAAACGATGTAGAACATGATATATAAACCGCCACATCGAATGGTTTGTTGAATTCGATAAAAACTCGATTAACTGTATGAAAATTGAAACCGATATTTTTTGAGTTTTTTTAAATATAAAATCGTTTCCTCATATTATAAATTACCCGTGAAAAATGATTCCAGCGATTAATGGGTAATTATTTTGTAGTTGAATAATCAATTTTATCTGACCGTAAAGAGTGACCATTTCATAGACACTTTGGCGCAAGATAATTTCATGATATCTGTGAAATTATTAAAGATTTGCATTTTTATTGACTTTCACGCATTTGCATAGGCGAGAGCACGCTTTTATTTAGAGAAGTAAACAGGAATATATTTCGAATAAATAGCGACGTATTATAATATTGAGTTCCGTTGATGAGATACGCGCATTTGGTCGACCAGCAAAGCTTTATATTAATTTTTCATCATATTAATTTTTGAGAAACATTTTAAAAACCATCAGTATATATTTTCCGTAGAATTTTTGTCGCGCGTGCACGCGCGACAAAAATTACTTAATTGAAAATGTCAACATGGAAAAATGAAATTCCTTTTTGCATTGAAAAATTCAATCGTCAGACGACGAGAATGTAATAGGATCAAAAAACAAAAATCTATCAGGCAGATTGGATTGATGGACTTTTTCGGGATGCTGTAGCCAACAGAAAGGAGAAACGTGGAAAAGAATAAAGACCAACCGAGAACGATCGCGCTCTAACATGAGTTGCATCCATTTCGCCCCGACAACATGGGTTTCGTGAGCTTTTCCCAGTTGGCAAAATGTGTTTTGTAGACAATGCCATCCGTGATCCTGTCTACGGGGATCATCCTTTCGCTACTGCGACGACAACGCGTCCGCGTCGTCGGGTCAGTGAATCCGGTGCGACGCGCTCCGCTGCCCGTTCCCATCTCTATCGGCCTATTCCGAGGGAAAATCACAATCGTCCGACAAACAAAACATTGTTATAACGGTATCACGAATACGATAAAAGGATGTCTTTTATTGGCTGGTGTGTAGCGCCCAATGATTGAGCTGCGACAATCTTCGTTCATGCGTGGAATCTAGATTTTTCTGAAATGTTCCTTATATGAAAAAGAAATCCTCTTCGTGGTGTATCGGAAACGGTATCGTGTGCGATATTGCGCATTATGTGGAAAATTACATAATGACGCGTAATGCGAGGTATTACTCGCCGCAATTTTTATTTATTGTAATTTACATATTTATTAAAGAGCGCGTAGAAAATAATTATTTTCCTCATGCAATATTATCCAATTAAGCATATTGCGTAGTATCGTTCTGTAATCAGTGGTTACTGATTTTCAAATATTTCCACTGAAAAAGCCGTGGATGAAGCACGTACAGCGCATACGCGCTGATTCGTTAAGTAGGTCGTAATGGTGGATTTAGACGGGGACAGGGATTTCGAAAATTGCGAAACATAAATAACATTCAGGATAAACAAGATTATTGACGAATATATTTCATATTGCCGATCGCGCTAAATCGCGTGCAGAAAGCCCGCCCGCCCGTAGAAAGACGCTTTGAATATAGAATAGTATTTTATGTTTCCAATTTTCTAAAGGTGAGAGAGAGAGAGAGAGAGAGAGAGAGAGAGAGAGAGAGAGAGAGAGAGAACTCTCTCGCCGCGCTTTATGAAAAATTATATTGACGCGGACATGCGCGTGCGAGCACGGACGGAGTTATTCGATTACATGCCAATCATCGATCGCTTAAAGCCCTTCCGCATTATCCGGCCGCATCTACTTAATGCGCGTAGCGTGTCATTACATTCGGAATCACTTTGCGCCGCATTATTGAATTACGCCGTTAACGCGGCACTCTATAATCTATTGGAATAATTTTCTATCGTCGATGTATATACGTATAACTGGCTTTCGCTTTCCGTTTTTATTTGCTGTAGAGGAGCGATTATCTGCGCGAGAATCCAAGCTTTGTATAAAATATATGTTTACTCACAAAAGTCGATGCGTGCCTCGATCCTTTTCATACGATAGAATGCAAATGCCAAGTGATTACATTTAATTAACGTGTCGATGTAATATTGTCAATAATTGCTGGAATTCAATCGACGCGAGGTCTCACGCTATCACATAACGTTGATATATTAAATATATTATTATCCGTTATCAAAATATTCATCAAATTATAAGGACAGTATATAGAAAAATGATAAAAGTTTTCATTATAAAGCAAATAATAAATCAAATTAAAAATTTTAGAACGTCACTTATCATTTGCGGACTACTGCTGTTTTTCGATTACTGAAAAGACGATTGTTCTCCTTAAAAAAAATCAAGTATTCAATATACCCACGACTTGCTCTTATATATCTTTGTATAAATTGAGAAAAATGTAAACACATAGTTCTTACCTAAGAGCGTCAGAAGATCCTGGCTTTAAGGATTTAACAATAACTAGATCGCTGGAGGTATTTCTGAAGACCTCGTCGTATCCAGGAAACCTGTCGACCTCGCAGAGGTGAACATCGCCGAAGTATCCGCAGCCAAGATTTTCAACGATGTTGAGTTTTTCCCGTGGAAAATCAAGGACGCACTCGGGTATCTCCTCCTCTTCCTCCGTGAGCATATCCTCCGGACTGTAGCTAGTTACGCTGCTAGAGGCTTTCGCGCTCGTTGGCGGTGGCGTACTCGGTGTCGGCGATGGTGGCAGTGGTGGTAGAGGACTCTGCGATGATACACACACGCGAATTCAATTTAATGTCTTCTCGAATTAATACAGTGTAATATCAATATGTCATATGAATATGTCGAAGCAAATAGTTATGTGTAAATATTCGTATTTTTATCCACCACCGGATAGAAATTATTCGGAAAATATGAAAGAAGCATAATATTGCGATGAATATAAAATGGAATAAATATTTCTTCCTTTCCGATATGAAGGAAAATACTTCGATAAATATTGAAATAAAAGATAATATTGGGATTCATAATCGTGATATACCTTTTTTCAATACAATTTTGCTTCCCTCCCGGTAAATTAATCAAATCTGATAATATAATCAAACAGAAATACACGTACGCTCTCCCCCTTGTAGAACTACCGTAATCAATAACCACGCCTTTTACATTATCGCTCTATAATCTGTGTATGCCCACGAAAGATGTTTTCTTCGCGGTAGTTATGATTGATAGTGGCCCCGTTGTTTCCTCGTTTTTCGGTCATTAATCCTCATAATTCACAGGATGAAGTATTTTGCGTCGTGCATATTGTATAGAGAAAACACAACCCCGGTTGAAAACGAGATTAAGTCGAAGTCGATATGTACAATACGATGATATACACCATTAAAATACATTTTATGCAGCGCGTGATTATCGTGGTCAATGTTTCAGCACTGTGGAAAGATTATCAATAATATAGTGTTTCAAATAATTTACATAAAGAAAATAAATATTCGACACACTTGCGAGAGCAATATTTCGGGGGATAATTTCACTTTGCGCGGTAGCGGAAATATTACACGTATGTTTGAACTATCTTAGAGCGTAGAAAGCGTAGAAAATTGAAAAGTCAAGCGGTATAATATTCGAATTAACCTCGAGGGCAATTTACATAAGCCCCAGCAGTGGCCGGTTTCGCAAGGTTGCCTCCCTTTCGGCGATCGTGACGGAGATTCGACGCCGTCACGAGACGGCGTTTGACACAGTTTCGCGTTCCGAAGTACCTACCTACCCCTCGCGTTAATGCTAGAGAGGAGGGCTTAATCGGCGCGGATCGCATGTCTACTGTACATTTTTGCGACTCACCTTACAGATCTCCGTACTGGCGTAATACTTTTCCGGCGGGGGCGGTATGGGCGGCGGGTTAGACGGATATTCTTGGACCGCCGGAATTGGCCTGGCAAGATTGATCGTCGAGTTAAGCAGGAGCGGAATAACCGGCTGCACCTCGTTGATCCCTGGTCCGAGAAGCGGCGAAGGAGAGAGCGAAGCGGAAGAAGAATCAAGAAATTCGACAAAGTTAAAAATATAATCACGGCTAGCCGTCGACGAGAGAGGAATTGCCGCCTGCAATGCTTTTTTTCCTCCCGTTCTCTCGCGCCGAGTTTTCCAAGTTTCGTGAGAGGATCGTTACCATTTTTTAACGAGACTCCGCGCGCAGCGCCGCGAACCTCCAAGCGTCATCCGCGACTGTGCGCAGCGAATCAAGTTCTTTCGGAAACTCGGAGGTAACGAGGTGGAGAAATGTCCCATTTCAATTTATTACACGATATTGCCATTATACGCTGGTCGTTTCGCGCTCAGGCACACGCCCGCGCACGATAATCGTGACATTTGTGGACTCGCGAAATTAGCGCGACCTGTCGATGTATCACGGCGCGCGCTGTCGTTTTCCGATAGTTAATTAATCAAAGACCTCTAGTCCTAATTCGATTAAACAAGGTCGCGCGACGCGACAAACAGTCTCTCTCTCTGCGGACTGCGGCTACTCCCGCTGTGTCCGGCAAGCTGTGCCAACTACGAGACGTAACGGAATAGTTTGTCGGACTATTCCAACTACGTCCGTGCGGCCACGGGCAAAACCAGGCGCAGAGATTCGAAACCTCGGCTTGACCGTCACTCCTGGGACAGCCCGTTAGAATTCCCGCGATAACACGAAACTATCCGTGTCGAGGCGAGGGGACGAAGTCATCGAATACAGAAGTGGAAACGTCTTTGGCGAAATTAGACGTAACCGGGATGCCAATCAACTTTTGTTGTTATCCCTGCTCGCGGAGATGGTAAATTAATTTTAGAATTTAGTGCGCGGCAAATTTTATCGACGAAATGGAAGAGGAAAGACGAGGAAGAGATAAAAACGTGTATATAAATTAAAAATAAACATAAAGATATTATAAAATATAACGAGAGAAAAAGAGAATAAAACATTTATTAACGAAATTGGTGAAGCAGATTTTAAAAGTTAACCAGCCGAGCGTCCGAAAGAACACTGGTTCGACACAAGTTCGACGATTGCCTTTTAAGGAACGCAATTGAACTTGCAACAATCAGAATTAAAAGAAGTCTTTAGGTACGTGCGTATTTGCGCGGTGCTTTACCTTAACGACCGTAATCCCGGCTAAAAGTGAACCGAACGGGCCGAGACTGTTAGATCGCGCGGGCGGAAATACTTAAGCGGCAAGCGCGTATGACTTTCAACATTGGTACCAACCGGTGTAATCCGTGACGGTTTTGTGTAATTGCGGCGTCGTCGTGCTGTAGGTGGCTGGTTGATACTGCGCCGGAAGCGGCGGGCAAATTGGTCCCTTGTCCTCGCCCTCGTCCGGCACGGAGACCTGCGGTCGAATATCGAGCGTTATCGTTAATGCACCTGACATTTATGCACACGCCGACCCGTGTACGTCGCGCGGCAAAAGCGATACACCATCGGTTATCTTCTCTTATTTGCCACCTCTCCCTCGCGGCTCCTTTGCTCATATTCTTCTCAGAATATTCATAACCGACGAAACGAGGAGACACAACGCGGGCCCCGAGGGAGTTACCGCGCGCGTCTGGTTATTGTGCGCCGAAGCGACGAATACCCGTTAGCCTACTGACTTGTTATGTTATACCTATGGCCGATTGCGTAATTTTACTTTATGGTAGCGGCGCTTGGCGCACGCTACCGTAGACAGAATGTAAAAGGTATAGCGCAAGCTTATTTTCGCCACCGATAAAAAGGATAATGCCGGAATGACTCCCTTGCCACTCGCGAAGTGTATAGTTCCATAAACTTGGGCCCTCTTTCCCCTCCCCAACGTCGTTAGCATCGAGATAATTTGAATTTAAATACATATTACAGATACGGGTTTCCTTATCCTTCAATTCGTGTTAATTTTAAAAATCGTTAATATATTTTTTCTGTAAATAAAATGTTATCGCTCTCGTTTGCAATAAGTTAAATCCCCCCCTCTCTCTAAACGTCGTTCGTTTCAAGATAATTTAAATTTAAATATTGCAGATACGAATTTCCTTATCCTTCAATTCGTGTTAATTCTAAAAATTGTTAATATATTTTCTCTGTAAATAAAATAATCGTTCTCGTTAATCTCGTTTGCAATAAGTTAAATTTATCTCGGGAAACCATAATGTAAACCAGGTTAGTTTGCAGATAAGAACAAAATCTCTTTCGTTCATTGCTCTGATATATGAATATATTAAATCTTTACATAAGGAATTCGGTTTTACGATCACGGCACGAGAACGGTTAAAGAGAGATTAAACGTAACGAAAACTTGCCGCATCTCAACGACTATCTAGCAGAAATCGCGACGGCATCGGTATTAACGGCAACGTATTCTCGACTTACGCCGTGGCGACTGGCGTAAGTTGCATTTACCTTTCTCCATTAACGGGATTCGTCATGGCAGTGCGCTTTCATCTAAAATGCGACGGTAAAACCGCGCGCGGGTGCCCACCCGTAAAGCTCTTATCTCGCGTCACTTCCTCCCGACGCCTTTATCTCGGTTCGCAAACCTGGGCGAAGGTGCACGAGGGATGTCTGGACGATCGAGCCTGACATGCCACCTCAGGAAATTAGCAGTTTTATTATAACAAACAATCTACGGGTGTACCCCAGACACCGGCGGCGGGGGTGTTTACACCGCGGTCTCTCCTCGTCACTTTTCTTCGCACGATAAGACAACTCGCGAGGGATCGTAGAGGGACATGACGGGTGCCGTATGTACGTTGCGCGTCTGTGTGAGTCGCGATATAATATCCATTGATTTTTGCGTTGCTCCAGGCTCCGTGGGTGTCGAGGCTGACTCGCCGAGGACGTAGGGGGTGGGTGTTAATTTCCGTTTAGGGAGCGTTAGAGGGTGCCAGACTGGTGAGATGCTGTGGCGCGGCCGTTAAGATAAGATAACCACTTAACCATCGGGATTCTACGCGAATCTCACTATACTCTCGCCCTCTTTTGCGCCGCCACGCTGGCGTATACACGCGCGCGTATATACATACGTACGTTGTTACACCATCCCCATCGCCTTCTATCTTTCCTGATCGCTCGCGTTTCCAGCACGAGGGCTTGCTTCCCGCCATCGGTCTTAACCATCTAAACATCTCTTTCTCCATTAGGGCTATCTGAAGTCCTGTCGCGCGCTTCCCATACTCTTATGGCCGAGCATTCGAGGCGATGTTGACAACTCGTTTTCGTCGATCGGACGCCGAAACGGCGACGCGACGCTGCGATGGCGGTTTGGAAGTATTATTGTTGCCCGAGAGATAGTGATCCGGTTTATGGAACGGCCTTGCTTATCGTCGTGCAAATAGTCCGCGATTCGGATACACCGATGCGATTCTTGATGCAGTTAAAGGGATCAGTCTAAATGCAAAATCGTTGCTAAAATCGTGCTAATGAGGCAATTGATCTGGATCGATGTTTAATTATATGGATTTGCCTTCTGAATACATGAATACATGAATACATGAATACATGATTGTTGAAACGACTCTTGACATTAACGGGATAAAGTTTATTTTTGAATCGTCGGTCTAGCGTGAGATCTTGTTTGCACGTCACGCTTGCCCGATAAGAGAGAAGAGAGACGCGGTAGGCAACTATTAAGAATTTATTAATACACAAAGTTATGAAAGCCATGATTAACAAAGCTGGCGATATCTAGAACGGTCTGAAATAACTCGCTTATTTTTAACGATAGAAAATAACGTTCCAAAAATAAAGCAGCTTGGTATCGGACAATTTATTTATTGTTTTTCCCCCCATATTATTTAGTTTATAAACAAACACAAGAAAATAAATTTTATAAAGTTTGCGGCTGTAATATTTTTAAAAATACAAGCTATACGCGTATGTAATAGCGCAATGAAAATCTCTTTCCTTACAATCGTATCGTGATATATTAATAAGACCATTAAAGAGAGATTACGAGAAGAAGGTTAAGCCTCCGGAATTTGGAAAGATAGATTTTTACTGACTTTGCGATGAAGTGATTTCACAGAGTCACTTCATGCATTATTGACACGATCATAAGACGCGAAATACAGCGCCTTTTCCTTTCGCATTGTGATATAGATATATCAATCGGGCGTACAAAAGGATCTCCCCCCTCCCCACAGATCCATGTGTCCGTGATTCCTTTCGCAAATCCGGACACGTTCGATTGACCATACGATTTTATCAACGTATCAGTTGTCCGGCATCGTCCGACGTCGAAGAAGAGAGGGACTTGATATCCTTTCCTTTATAACTTTGGTATTCCGAACGGGATATCCGCCTGGCGAAATAAATTACGGGCGTTGCAGCGAGAGAGCTTACGTGCACACGGGATTTATCGAAGTGGCGTATTTGTTTAGAGATATTGCGTGTTTGCCCGCATACTAATCGCATATCGAGTTTAACCGCGATTACGAGATCGGCAAACGATAGCGTCGAATAATCTCTTAACGAGGCGGTTGAATTAAAGGTGCGTTTGAATTGAGTGGATTATTGTTAATTTATGTGTACCGATTCCCCTCAATTTCCCCCTTTTACGCGCACAACACGGAACCGTGAAATTTGATTTTAGAAGAAGAAAAACAACGCTTGCCTTATTCGTTTCATGATATCCGTGATCCGCGCGTTTTACGCGAATACGCGAAAACGCAAAATTTTATTACGCTAAAAACGATGCGCAAAACAAAATGCTGGAAACTAAAATTTCCTGACGCGCGTAATGCATTTTACGTATTTATATTTATACGCAACGGTGCTCCACTATTTGCGCCACTTTTTTTACATTCGTTTGCGCGCGCCGTACTAATCTGAGAAAAATGTTAAACTTGTTAATGCAGCCGCCGGAAATACAAACAGTGGATGCGAGAGAAGGAGCGCGCTGGTGGGCGTTATAGAGACGGAGTAGACGAGAATCGAAATCGTGAAACGGGTTACCCGACAAATTCCGTGAAGTGCTAACGAAAAGATTCCGGGCACAAAACGATCCTCCATTAATTAGCACCGGAGTGCTTTTTGCCATTTTCATTACCATGAGTACATCTTCGCCTCGTTTCCGCAAAGGCTGCGCGACCCGTCCAAGCTGTTTGCACGTTTCCCAACTTTGTCCAAAAGTGTCTCCCGCGCATTTCACTTGTTTCATGGGCTTTTTTTTAATTAATTTTTCACGGCACTGACCCGCTTTTAATTAACGCATTCTCGTAGTTTTTCTACTTTGGCATATCTTGTTGTTACAAAACGTCCCTTGGATACCGTTATAATTATTACATCCAAAGAGTTTTAGCATTTGAAATTTGCAGCGACGCTTTTCAAACTTCCAAACAAATTTATGACAAGTCTGAAGTGTCTACACAAGAGTGCCGTTTCTTGTTTCTTTTTTTTTTGTTTGTTTAAATGTCGTCAGACTCTTCCAACAATTTAACAGATAATTATTCAAACTATGGAATCGTTGCAGTACGCATACGTACGTATATATATTCAACTCGCGGTTAGGGATTACAGCGCACGAAAATCAGAGAGTTTGTTGCTTTAAATTAAAATAATCTGTTTTCACTCGACTGTCTCTCGCACCCTCCCGCCTCTCTCTCCGAGCTAAACCTGGTAATCGCATTAGCACTTACTTTTGTATGGAGTCCTTCCTCCATAGCCCTGCCATGCTCTTTTCGCACGAATACAGACACACGTGAACGCGCGCTCACAGAGCTGCATCACGCGGTGAGAGCTGCGTCACGTTCGATAATAATAAATTCTATGGATTGAATAAAATTACGCGCCGTATCTGTTATTGTTTGTCCGATATATTTCGCGCATAACGCATATGATTCACGCACATGCCCTTAAGGCAGTGTCGTAAACGGGTTATTTATTGCAAAGCACTGATATGTGGGTAATTCAACGTAAATTTGATTTGCTAATTGCTAAAAAATAGCCTGACCCGTAACACGTGGATGAACGTTTGCGTAAATTAAATAATCCTGCGCAATGAAATCTGGAACAAGAATTTGCTGCATCGTAAATTCTCGGATAAGAGAGGGGGAGAAAAAAAAGCACAACACTTCGCGGGGCTTTAAGCGATATACTATCCCACGGAGTTTTCCCTCCAACGTTTTAAAGCGGACCGATGGAGCTAAAGTGTCAAAAAAGACTGGGAGTCCTCCATCATATTCGCTCGAAATGGGATCAGACAGATCGATATGGTGTGTCATCCGCGAAACAAAGTTTAGTTTTCATAGTCCATGATGCCCGACAGATTGTGGAGGTCTTGTGCTCTGTAAATTGTCTTCTTGACTACTCCGGCTAGTGGGATGAGAGGAGAGACCGGATCAGTTCTGCGACGGAATGAATGTGCGATCGCATCAAAACTATTCAAAACTCAATGCTAACAAACGTATCGCGCGAAGAATGACGTCTACAAGCACAAAATCACTCGCGATCAATAAGAATGAGCTGCAGTGATTATAATAAGTTGTAGTCCGCAGTCATAGAGAGATTAATTAATTAGGCTATACTCTAGCTAGTTTATTTTTATAAACATAAGAAAAATTTTACCATTGTTGGAGAAGTCTTTTTTTTTATTAAAATTGTAATTTTTTTATACTTCAGAAATTACGTTAAAGATAGGTCTAAAGATTCATAAACTCGAACAGTAAAAGTGACAATTTTTTCTTCATTAACATTTACGAGGAAAATACTCTGGGGTGTACACCCCACGCGACTGCTCATGTTTCAAATTTTGACGCGATCATTCGAGGGTTAAGCGCTGGTAGACGATAATACGGTGTTTAGCCAACGAGAGGCAATGAATAATTATGACGCAGTAAATCGCTGTCTATTTAATTAATGACAAGTTCGCGAACAAACAGATCTCGAGGAAAAAAATATCGGTGTTCTCGATATGGTTCGAGCGGCTATATCGGTTCAACGTCTCGCCGGATTGAATCAGGTGCGCGCGAGCGTAGTGAGGACAAGCGAAAACGTTGTTTCTCCCCGACCCGTATTGCTCGATAAATTGACAGCGGTTTCTACCTGGCAGACATAATCTGCCATTCTCTGGAGATCCGACGTGGGTCGCAGGTTGCACGAGGGGCAATAGGGTCATTTCGTGGAGAAGGGGGGAAAACAAGGGATGGTGGCTCGCGCAACTTCAAGACGGGACAAGTAGCAGGTGGCTAATGTCGGGAACGTGGAGCAGGGGGGAAAAGGAGGATTGGCGAAGATGGGCGAGGAAGAGAAGAAAGCGCGTTTGGAGTGTATATGACGCCGCTCAGCGGCGGGTGAACGACGAAGATAACGCACGTCTCTTCTCGACGACGGCGTCGCAATACGGCCATCTCGACGGCTCTTTTAATTAAGGAGTCAGCTTGACTACCCGTGCACTTCTTCGGCGGCTGGTAAAAAAAAAACTTAGCTGTGGAAGATATTGGGTTGTCGAAGAATACTTTGAGTGATGTATGGTAAAGGCGGCTAGAAGACTTCATGCGCGTCCACTCCCAGGCTTCGCCGGGGCGAATGAAAAATATTACATAAACGTGTTTTCGTGTTCTTTTTGGTTCCCTACATTTACAGACAGAATTGATCGAACGCGATTAATTAATTCCGCACCGCACATATTTGCTGAATAAATGAATATTATGTTTATTTCCGCGCGTATATCGCACAAATAGGATACAAATAATTATTTAAATTATTATTTTCAAACTGCAAACTCTCTCTGCTAATAATAGAGGACCAGTTTGGTAGCTTCTTGATTCCTAGAACTTTCTTTCGCCTCATTTATCATTATTAATAATGAGCCGAATGAAATATTCCGAGTGACTAATTAGTCACCTTGATAGCTAATGTCGCCATCGCCGAGTCTTCAATTTATTTCGATAGGTTGTTAGCGTCGTTATTAATTGTCGACTGTCGCTCCTGTATACGTTTCTCCAGTTGCCTTCGGTCCGTGCAAACAGTTAAGTTAGGAAAGCTTCAAGGGTTTGCAAGCTCAACTGTCTGGCACTCATTATTTCTCATCGTTCAGCAAGTCGTTAATTACTGTCTTCCCGCTATATCCCGCGAAAAAGGATGGGAGAGAGCGCCGGGGCTGTCCATTTCTACGAACGAACTTCACTTTGCTATTAATCCGGTTAGAACAACAGTGGCTTGGTAAACATACGCGAAGTTCTCAGAGTTCTTTCTTTTTCCTCCGTCAACCTCACTTTCTTCGCTCCGCTCACAATCCAAGTATTAACTTTTTGCGTAACACGCTCAATTCTCTTCTAACGTTTTATTCCTCATCCTTACTTTCTCGTCTCTCTCCACCAACGGCACTTTTATCTACAGAGATTACTTACTGCGGAATTCACTTCTTACCTTGTTACCCTGCACCTAACCATCACAAATCGTTGGTCTGATTTCGTACTTAGATAACAGCCGGCTAATCAAGTAATGAAAGCTACGTGTGTATTGGCTTCTTCCCTCGATTTTTCCATCTTCCCAGTTTTCCCCTTACAAACGTATCTCGATGTTATCTTGAAGAGGCAAGATTTGAGGCATTAACCGATTAATTAATTTTCCGCTATACAAAATAAATGCGATTTCAAGCGAGCGAGTCACCATTGTGCATGGTAAAGAGCTGGGTTTAACGTTATAGACCATACATCGTGAAAGTCGTGCAAACTGTCCACCGGCGCGGGCGCGAGGGTAGTAAACGCGCGACGTTAATAATTCTTGTTGTTCCATAGGACAGGAGTCGGAGCGGAATTTACGACAAAGTTAGACATTCCGCGTTAGAACGAGGTGCGAGACTGAAAACGTCTCTTTTGCCCGGAAAACGTTTCTAGCGGGTCCTCCTTCGCTACGATGGAATGCGACGTCAGAGAAAAATAGCCTTGTCCGCGCGTGCATCGCAAGATATTTCTCGTTATTTTTCTTATTCCTTCGAAGCATTGTGTATTGTAATGGGGGAAGAATTACGAGAATAATTATTAGGTGCATATAATTTGTCTATCGCCGCTAATCAAGCCGTTCACTAATTCTCTCTACGAGCTTTTTTTCAAACGTAATTTTCGTTATAACGCAAAGTAATGAACGCGTACAAATTCTACGATTACGCGAAGCGCGCCGGATCATAAAAGGATTCGAGGATAAAAGCGCATAACGAACAATCTCGGAGCGTCCTTTTAATCGTCCTAGCACGATCTCGTTTGCGTCTCTCCGCCTTAAAGAAAATATTTGATCGCCGTGTTTTCTCCTTTAGTTACGCGCGCGCGCTTGTACCTAAACCGACGTACGTAATAGGTAGGTATAAGCTGTTTTGCGCGATTGCTCAAAAGCGGCGTAAAGTGACCTGGAAGCATAGAGTAAATAGATGTGCCTGTTCGGTTTATTAGAACCAGAGAGGCAAGACTCCGGCATTAAATCAGGTCGAGAGTCAAGCAAAGAAAAATCGCGACCGGAGAACAAAATCGTCGTCATTTACCGAATTGTTTAGTATCGTGATAATACGCATCGCTGCGCAAAGGGCTATTTATTATGCTCGAATTTTTTATTACTCTCAATTTTCGTCCTCGTGTGCTTAATGATGCCTAATGATTGGCGCCTTGCACGTTGACTTGTATGGTAATATTTCACGATCTGTATACACCAGAATTATACATATATAATTTTTTTTATAATAAAGGAAGATAGTTTTTTTTTCTTGTTATTATACATATATCTATCTATTGTTTCAAAATATCGATAAAACACTAATAAATTACATCTCAATAATGCGCTAGACAAAAAATGCCGTGTTACAAAGTCATCTCTCTTTGTCATGCAAATATTTGTATTTTGCGTAAGAGAAAATAATTTCACTGGAATAAGGTTAGAGGTTTATATGCATGTGGCTACATAGAGTACTACGACTTAATATTACGGCAATACTTAATTATGCAGCAGTATATCTTTATAATAACCTTGAGATCACCCTGTTGATCGTAGAAGTTTGACGGTGCGAGAGCAGCTTTGAGCCTACGGTTCCTATAGAAGATGAACATGATCGCCGCGAGCAGCATCACAATTACGGTCGTCAGGATGCCGATAACTAAACCGACGAACTGCCTCGATTCCGGTTCCTTGCTCTTATCTGGAACTGAGAAGGATGTATGTGTGTATGGAGTGTGTCTACATAGTATGTATGTATATTATATATATAAAACGACTGGGTGTGTATATGTAGTAAACAGAGATGCACCCGTCATATTCGGGTGCGGGATACGGAGGAAATCGATTAGCTCAACGATTAACGGTTACACCGCAAGCTTAGTGATCTTGCATATTGTCACTGGCTTAGACTGTGCTCTAGAGATAATTTACATTAATTAATCGCGACATCGATCGTAATTCCTAAGGATTCAAAGTCAGTCTTTAACGTTTGAGTAATTATTTAATGAAATCTCTTTAGCTGTTTTCTTCTAACCGATTACTTGTAATTCATTTGACAATGAATGTAACTGATTCAATTAAATATGAAACTTTGCTTCGCCAGTAAATAATTAACAATAATGACTTTTATTCGACCTAACTGGCCACATTTATTAAATACAATTCGTCTCAACGTTTCGATTATTGATTTTGGTCCTTCTCAAGTGTAAATCTACACGGAGAGAATTTTCTCTTAAAATTTACTCTGAAATCATGGTAGTTGTGGAACAACATGTACCACCAAGAATTTTATGCGAGCTATTCTGATTAATATCCACCATAATAAAAAATGTTAATATCTATTACATTAAAATATAAAATATGTTTGATTAATTTTACTAAAATATATCTAAGAAATTTCGATAATTTTTCAAAATTTACCAATCTGCTTGGTAATTTTTATCACATTGTTTGTAAAATGTTTTTTGTATATTTTAAAAATTCCTTGGTTGCCAAGTTGTCCCAAGTTTATAGTGAATTTAAGGGTAAAATAAAACAAAAAATTCTCTCCGTGTATAAATTACAAATTCAATAAGCAAAAGGCATGTAAACTGTAACTCAATTTGACAAAGTCAACTTGAGAACCAATATAATAAAAATTTTTTAAACTAATAAATACCCAAGTTATAAAATTAGTAATGTAGCTTTTTACTGATATCTCATCAGTCATAACATTGTGCTAAATCAAGTCATAAATCTAAAAGCTAAATTTAAGCTGGTTAGATCAAATGAGGAGATCATCGTGTAAGTATAAGTTCAAAGGCTTACATATGTTTCGTATGTCTTATAAATCGTAAAATAATCCGTATAATAGTAACACTGTCTCAAATTCAAATAGATGACATTAGCATTACACATCGTCATCATAGCTGGACGTCAAAAATTAAAACATCAAAAAATGTTTTTTATCAAGAAATATAATGGCATTATTAATTTAAAAAAAGGATTTGAATATACTATATATGATAAAAAGCGCAGAAATGAAAAGAATCTCAGAACTTATATGTTAAAAATTAAAACATATAGAAAGCACGTCAAAGCGATAGAATAATTCAAATGAGCAAATATCAACACAAGGTGTAAGTCGTTAAGTCATAAATATGCTACAAATATATAAAAACTGAAAAATAAAAACTATATAGACTTTATTACTTTATCATATAGAGCGTTCAAATCCTCGTATCTTTTTTAAATTAACGATGCCATTATAATTCTTAATAAAAAAACATTTCAGCAATCTCTCTCTCTAGTGTGCTTCTCTTATTTGCATAAAACTTTTGGTTTAGACCAATTAAACTCATGTTTATATGAAAGATGATGTTTGCTTACTACTGAGTGATTGCTTTCGCACTTTCTAATGTTGTTTTGAACTGAAATGTTCCTGTGAACTCGTGTCTCTAAATGTCTCTATAGTTTGTTCTATATATGAAGTTACAGTTATCACAATTAATTTTATAAACTAATTCTGTAAACTGTTCTTGATATTTGATATCGGAAACGCATTAACAAGAAGAGGAATACGAGACAGAAGCTTATTTAATCGATATATCAATAATTTAATACTCACATAATTTTGCAAACAACAAAACCGCGATCTCTGTAATATATAGATTGTTATCAAAGTTATGTAAATATTAAATTATTTATATATAACGATTTTTATCAAGCAACGCTAGCTCCTCTTTCGTATTTTCTTCTTGTTAACGCGTTTTCATTATTGTAATTATTATTAATTATTAATTATTATTTTACAATATATTTAAAAGTAGTCCAAAATAAAACGTCTATGAGACCTCAAAGATATCATAAATCGGATCTTATAGACGTCACAATGATGTCTTTTTAATAGTTTTATAAGACGTCTTATAAAAGTATAAGTCAATTTTAGACGTCTTTAAGGCATCATAATGTTCTCTGGACAACGTTACTAATTTTATGACTTACAATTAGGTATTTATTAGTTTAAAACATTTTTAATGTATTGTTTCTTAGTCATTTACTTTGTCAAGTTGAGTTACAATTTACATACTTTTTGCTTATTAAATTTATGATTTATAGATTTACACTTGAGAGAAGGACCAAAACCAATGGTTGAACGATTGTTTTTAATAAATGTGGCCAGTTGGGTCGAGTAAAAATCATTATTGTAACTGATTTATTTCTTTTTTTATTCTCCTTTTCTTGTCGTGACTCAATTTTGTCTCAACTTTTTTTGTCTTAATCACTAAATTTTTTAGTAATTTTTCAAAAAACGTAGCTTTCTATGATAAAAATAAAGTCTTCCATTTAATCGAAAATAACCACACAGTCTCGCAGATGTCGTTTCGAAGCAAATGGAATATCGATAGTAACGGTAGTCATGCTGATAACAAAAGAATTTTCCAAATAATATTTCGACCGCTGCACGGTGCAGACAGCTGACCCGCGCTGATATACGCGATAGCGGATTCACTCGCCCACGACGCTTGATGCATCAAGCAACACGACCTATCACCGTAGATAATGCCGCCGAGGTAACCTCGCATAATGTACGATGGAACGATAATGATGATTGCGTTCAGCACGAAGCTCGTAACTAGATCACGGTTGATCAGTGCCCGGCTGAACAAAAACAATATCCGCTGATGGCTTTCGTAGTCCACCGCAATAGCCTGATCATCGCTTGAGTATTTTATAAATCAATAAACGAACAGGAAAATAATCGAATAAGACACTTTTTTAAATATCGTGACATGATTGGCAAAATTGGTTTATACTCATAGTTTTAACATCATTAAATGGTATATGAAAATATTAGGTAAATAATATATACAATTTTTTGGAACGAATGACATTAAAGTTAGTCAATCAATTACCAATGGCAAGAAATGTTTATATTGATATTTCTTTACAAAAAAAAAGAGTAATTCACGCATACAGAGATCGAAACTAAGCTATAAACTTTCTCTGATAAACAACAATAAATTCTTTTCTTTGTCTTTTCTGCAAACAAAAATATCAGAGAGTTTAATTTTCCGAATAAAAATATATCTGCGACAAAAAAATTTCATCTTGTTTCATGCTCTTTTTGAGTTTTCAACATTTCGGTCTCGTTTCTTTCGCAGACCAATTTCGGCGCAATGTTGCAGAGCATCGGTCGACAAGAAAGCATAATGTTATTCTTCCTAGTGTATCGTTTGTCCTCTTAATTCGCAGATTATTACCCGCGTTGGCGCACATTCGTACCTTTCTGCGCGGTGTAATATGTAATGAGTGTTAGCTATACGTCGTGCTTTAAGCGAAAAAACATCGTCCCGCTTTCTTGCGCTTTACTTTGGGCGAATTTAACAAGCGGACACGCAAAGAGCAGTTCGAGCAGTGTACACAAATACAAACCTATGTTAAACAAGCACGCGAGCATGAACCTGACAAGTTATGAAGAAATTGCAGCAATTCCGACATCGTCACTGTGTGATTGAAAAGTTTTCCGCTTATGCAGCGCGAGTCGCGGAACGTCAGTAGGAAGAAAATTTAAATTAGTTATTCGCTGTCCATCTTCGAGAATATCGAGTGTAATCAATTAGCATTAAAAGAGTTTCGTTAACGAAACTCGTGATCTTTTTAACGGCGTCTCGATACCGCGTCTCGACATCTCAGAAGAGAAAGTTAAAGAATTAATCAGGTTAATTGCGCGGCTTTTGTGAGAATAAAAAAAAAAGTATCCTTCTATATTGATTAACAAACTCGACCAAAGGACAAAAGCGACCGCTCTTTTTCTTCCGTGACGTTTCTTTTGCAGGTAATCGAGGACGTCCCTGGGACTACTCGATGTACTTTTTCGCACAAGTCTGTCGATCTCAAGGGGTCTTCCAGCCCCATCGTCGCCGTTTTTCCATTAATTGCGGTGTAAGGCGACGTCGCATATAAAAAAGAAGATTCCTCTAAAGATGCAAGTATTTGCCTTTTCAATTTCATATAATTATAATTAAATTTGTGCTGTGAATCTAAGAGAAAACACGCAAATTAATTGCGCGGTAACGTATTTCAGATTTCTCAATAATATCTACTTTTATATTTTAAATATAAAGTTTGGCAGCGTTTATCTTCATTATTTAAACTTAATTTCAAATTTTTTAATCAAACTCTCAACTTCTAATAATATCATTAAAAAACTACGTCAATTTCGTATCCGTTCATGAAAAGTAGTTTTACGCTAAGTGCGTATCGTACAAAAAATTCAAATTAACATTTTTCTATGTTAATAAATCGTGTTAATGAATCTAGCGATTATCATGTAATGATCCATTTTTCCGACACACAATTCTTTCGCGATATATCGAGCTCATTGTTATAAAACATGACAAGGGGGGAAAAAGCTCGGCTGAAAAGAGCGTCAATTACGCGGAAAATTATGAACGTAGCTTACCGGAGTAACAATAGAAAAATCGGACAGTAGACTTACAGGTGTTATCTTTGCTTTCCTCCTTATTAAAAGTAGCCTTCACTTCGTCTCTCTGCAGTGGACCCTCGTTATTTTGATAGGGGCTGCCGGTCGCCAGTACAATGGCGCTCTTGTTCTTCGCCTCCTCGTCCTCGGTATTGTTCCATTCGGAGATAACTGTGCATTCAGGATTAGAGCTAATGAAATCCACCGCCTATCAAGCTCGTATTAAATATTCGAGTGTGTGAAACGTCTATATGTGAGAAAAGCATTATCACACAGTGGGAAAAGCATTGTTGGAACTAATTGAATTAAATTAATAACTCGATAAATTCTATGCTGTAAAATCATCGACGATACACGACTAATCTATACCGTTGTTAAAAGCGAAATCAATCTCTGATGGCATCAGTAAAATCAGTCAAAAAGGAACGTGCGATGCTCGAAAATGAGTTAAATTTCGTGCGTCTTTTGACAATTTTATCGGATTGTACCAATGCCCTTTGTGGCCGCGGTACGGACACAGAATTTCATTTGTATGCGGGATAGTTTTCTACGACACATCGATCGTTTGAAAACGAACAAATATCACGACCAGAATTTAATTCGTGTCACACGCAGCTGGAATTTTCCCGTTAGGCAAACTGAAAATTAGTGCCGCGGCAATTTATCGACTAATGGACACCAGAAAATATTCCAATTTTCGAGCAGTTAGACGCGGTTCGTACGCGCAATTTATAAAAAGGAAAATTAATCGGAGTGGGCCGCGCGCGAGCGCTTGCTGTCGGTGCTCTCGCTCTCTCGCGGCGCGACTCGCTCCGGCAGAAAACTCGATGCCGGTGCCAAAAAGAGGAACGGGTAAAGGAGGGGGGGAGGAAGGGGGCGCGATATATTTTCCTATCGATGTCGCAGCTCAACGAAGCATTTGTGCGACGTGAATACGAGTTATGTGGTATACAGGTGACGAGGAACATTGGTCGCCTCTGGGCGCCGCGCGCCGCGCCGGTCGGTCCAACTTATCGCTCGCAGTCGAGGACGGAGAGCACCGGAGTGCGGACGAATGATTAACGACGTACCCACTCCCGCGCGGTTGGCCCGGTGCAACGAAGCGACACCGAACTTCCGAAAGCTTGCATTACCAGAGACCGGCGGCTAAGTTCCCGTCTCGGATTGTTTGAGACGAATTAAAAGAAATATCGGTGATCGATATGCGGTCGCCCGTCGATGTTGGATTAAGCTAGTCATTGGGGTAAGTTGCCGTAACAGTTGCGTTTTGCCGGCTGCGGGACCGCGGAATCGATCTTCCCGATCGAATTTGATTTGAAAGACTATACCGGGAATACCGGTCTCACTCGGATGTTATATGAGATATATTGTCCGAGCTACAGCTACATCGCGATGAGAAACGCGCTTTTAATTCCTAAAAAAAATTCATGAACTTTTTCGTTCCTAAAAGTTATAGCGAACAGAAGAGTTTACAGTTTTAATCCTAACTGTTTGTGTTTGTACTTAAAGAACCTTTAAGACTCTCTTAAATAAGCTGTAGTGTAATCGTAGTCTTACAAACTCATAAATGTTTAATAAAGTTACTTGTTCTTATGTAATTCTGATTCAACGTAGATTTCCGATCGCGTTGAATCGCTATTGGTATCGTATTTATATCGTATTTTTCGTTCTGTGATATTTTCCGCGTACGGATTGTATAATTCTCTGATCTCCATGAGGACTCGAGTTATTTTCTATTCGAGCAAATAAAATTATTGTTTCCAGAAAAATGTCACATATATTTCGAACAATTAACAAGCAATATGTTATGTATACATTATTCTAGCTTGTGCACAGAAAAAAAAGAAGTGTTAAATCAAGTCTTATATTCTTGTATATAAGCAAGAATCTACGATCTTCTTATGAGAATTTCAACTTTTTCTTCTTGATTAAACTATCTTCATTCAAACAAGTTTTCTTCATTTAATGCAATTTATATCTCATTTCAAGATGATAGATTCTTGCTTATGTACAAGAACATAAGTCTTGATTTAACACTTTTTTTTCTGTGTGAGGTTACAAAGAAGATATTCTCTTCGGGAAATATTAACAATATATATATTGTTACTCTATAAATTGACGCAGCACATATCAATAGAAATTTATATAGAAAAAATTATACGTAGTATGATTTAAGAAAGATAGGGTAACACAATTTCATACAAACACTACAAACGACGTTCAAAATGAAATACGTGCAAGTTTTATGTGCCACTTGATACGGGCGACAAAGAAAATCACTCGCTTCAGCGTTACGCTGCCGAAGTTATCTTTCGTGAAAGGAAAGAACACAGCGCACTGAGAGAATGATTAACGACGGCTTCGCTCGTCTGGTTCGTGCAACATTCCGGCTTTTCGAGACAAAACTTTTTGAGAGTATATATTCGAATGTGTATATGTGTGTGTGTATACGTGTGCGGTAAGTAAGTTTCGTTTCCGGTCCGCGACCACGTGCTCTCATTCGCACAACGTGCCGTGGATACTTCTGCTTTTTGCTTTCCACGGTGCTTTAAAGTCGAGCGAACAACAACGTAGGACTAAACGATTTCAGAAACTTTAAATGTTTTCGCACTGTCTTTTGTTCGGGATACGATGCTATTGTCCGAGCAATTCCGACAGTAAATATATTTGTTATTGCGAAAAATATTTTCCCTTAACGCTGATATTACGTTTATTTTGTTATCTATAAAGAAAAGGAGTGAAATAATAGAAAAAGAATTTATTCTTGAATTATTAGGAGTAAAACTGTGTTCGTATATTAAACAGTAATAAAGTACAATTTAGTATCATGGTATTTCTTAAATACATCTCGTTATTTCTGTTTAATCGATATTTGTTTATACTAAATACTTTTTTATATCCTTGTTCTAAAGTAGTGAGATTCTCTACAAAATAAGTTTACCTTATATCAGTTTTATAGCAGTACGCGTGCGTTTACTTTGAAACTACACTACCGTCGGAATAATTTTTCTCTCCAAGCTCCGCGCGCCTGAGTTTCGGAACGATTTTCCTTCCTACCGTCTGCAGTATCACCGCGCGCTCATATCTTCGACGAAAGTATGTCACTTAAAATTGGAAAATCGCGTTGAATCGCGCGGCCTTGAAGCGCGGTTGCGCTTCGAAACTATTTCTATTTCTAGATTTCAATTTTCTGGACTGCCTCCTTTGATTTTCCGTTTAACTAAAAGCGCGTCTTTAAATGCGAGGGGGAGAGCGCGGCGGAGAAAAGGGCGAATCCCGGACGATGTTTTAGCTTCGCCATTACTCTCTCGGTCGTTTTCCGACGCGACGGTCGGAGAACGCGCGGAGGGCGCGCGAGTGTTACCCCGAAAGTAACACCCTGAAGATAAATTTCGACTGCGCACGTGGGATGGCACGTGGGAGGTAGAAGAGGGAGGCCGGGGGAGAGAGAGGAGGGGATCGATCTTTCTCTTACCTGATTCGAAGATTACTTCGCTGAGCATGATCCACCGTGCGGCGAAGTAGAGCTGCAACTTTAGGAAACGGCCGGCGCGCGAATGCAGCTTTATGGTGACCTCGCGCGCCTGCTCGAGCACCTGATCGGGGATGTAAGAGAAATGGACAGGCTCGCCGGTAAACTGGTTGCCACCTGTGCCGAGGTAGACCTTCGCGTACGAGAAGACCTGCGAGGGCAGCATAGAGATCGTGTGTACGTGCCGAACGCCTTACGGGAATGGAATCGGGCGATTGGACGACGCTCGAATGAGGTGGAAACAGTCGCGCGTGATCGTATCGCTTCTTCGGTCCGGAGAATGTCGTAAGACGGACGTTCATATCGCTCGTAAAGTCGAATTAGATCGAACGTGTATACATATACATATATGAAGTATTGTTATATAGCAGGCGCGAACACTATGCTCGTAATTCGTTTTCCTGAAAAATAAGCCGCCCGGGATAGAAATAATTTTGGCGAGAGTGCACATTGAGAAATCCCCCGCTATCGACGGAAGCACTAAGCTCGCGAACAGGCGCGGGCGGCGCGATGAACGGGACTGCACTCTGTAAATCGCGGGGAAAATGTTTTTAAAACCGCGTAAAAGTAGCGGAGACATCGGCAAATGTGCAATGTGATCGTGAAATTTACGGTAGTTCCCCGAAGCTCGTAACTTCTGAAATAATAACGGTAACGGGGGCGCGAATGGCCGATACCTGCACGTCCTTCGTGAAGTAATTGTTCATGTGTAGGTGTATGGCAGTGAAGTTCCTCGAGTAGTCGAACTCGAAAGTTATTTCCACCGGACGTCCGAGCATGTTGGGTGTGTCGTTTCGCCAGCCGACCCATTCGTATCCTGGAATCACAAACGAATCATTTCGTTACAACACCTCGCAGCTTTGGAGTTTCCTGAAAAAAAGATGTGAAGAGTTGTTAGTTGCGTGAAATGCATAAACCCCTTATCTTTTAAATTAATAAAATTCCGGTAAATGCTATTAAATTTACAATGAGAAGACGAACTCTTTTGCCTATTCGGATCTTTAACAAAAAATTCGTTAAAATCAATTTATCAGTGAAAAATTGGTTCGCCGTGAACAGTCCATGTATATTAACGCAATTTTTATTTGTTAGCTCAACGTATTATGCCTTTTGATATTTAACAGTAATTGAAGGTTTGCTGTATGTGCTGTATCAAAGTCATCTTTTACGCATGGAGAGAACGTATATCCAGTAAAAATTGCTACCTGTATATGTCACACAGAAAAAAGGTTCCGATATATGTATTTGAATTAAAAAAAAAAGGTTTTATGTTGCGGGTTGTATGATACGGTAAACCATTTATAGGTGCGGTGTGCACGTACCTATAAACAAGACAATAAAATCTGTAACGCGAATAGTGGACAATTCGCGCGTGACATCGAATTTATTTAAATGTTGTAGCGTAAACGGAAAACGTATGCATGAAAAACAAATGTCTAACATTCCTATGGTAAATACATGTCATATACGTATCTCTCTCGAATATATGTAATAGTAACACGCAAGAATTTTGAAACGTTGAAACTTGTTAATGTTTAAATTCCAATTAGAAGGTAAATAGATCACAGGGAAAGAGAGCAGAAGTAAAAGATTTTATTTTTCCACTAAAAACCTAATAAAGACTGATTTTCAATGAGGTAATACTAAAAGAAGTTTCGTATAACTTAAAGTCTTCGAGAGGAAGGTACCGTGCCGCGCCGCCGTTTTACAACGAAGATAATTTAATATAGATAACTCGGTAACTTAAATAATTTGCAAGCACGTGACCTTCGCAGTTTTCTTGGGATTTAAAGACGTTTTCCCTTTGTTACGTATAACGCTGCCAGAAACCGTGCAGGAGTGTTCGCTTAATAGAATTTAAATTACCCGTTTCAGATTCGTAAGTTAAGCTCTCGCGTGGGACTCGTATGCTTCCTCGAAACGTTAATTACGTTTCGAGTTTGTTTTCGTGCTTTCTGTTCCTCTCTCGCTTCATTTCTCCCGGAAATGTTCCGCTCTTGGTATATAGCAGCGCGAGCAGCGTGGTATGCGATACGGAAGAGTTTGCGAGCAATGGAGCAGCCGCGCAGCAGGGCAGGTTATTGCGCGCGAGTCCCGCCATTAGATCCCACTATATGAGTACATGTGGAAACACACGTGTCCCGCGGGAATATGCGGATTGAAAATGGACTGCAATAACCCTAAAGCCCCTGGCCGACACGGCGTATTATGCGTTTCTCAGAAATGCCCCTGTTACTTTCAACATTGACTCCGAAATCTCTAACTCCGCCGCCTAATATTTTTTCGCCGCATTTGAATGTCATGTACAAAAACGCGGCTCATCACTGTTCATTCGTTGCGCACAGTACTTTCCGGAATTAATGATGAAAGAATGAAGAAAAAACTCGTATTTGACCTGCTCGCGTTGCTGCGGAAAAAAATGCACTGCGGCATGCATGGTGATTGGATTCTGGAATATTTGGATACTTATATTATTTAGCTTTTTTTAGAAATTTTAGGTATTCAATATTTATTATAAAATTTTATTAATGCAAACACACATTTTGATTCTTGAAATACTGTGGTTTCAATATATATATTTTTTTTATAAAACTAAATGTAAAAAAAATATTTTATTGTATTTATTTAATAGTATAATCTTTAAATATTCGTTCATTTTTATATTTTTCTTCTTTTTGCTCAATATCGTTTTACATATTATAAAATGTTAATACATAGATCCTAAGTTCTTAGTGCCTTAGAAAAATATAATTTCCGAAAAGGAAATAACAAAGTTACGAACGGGAAAGAAAAAGAGGAAAAGATCCAGTCTCGAATTCGGTGTCGTCGCATCTGGGTTTCGACATCGTCGGAAGAGAATCGCGGATACGTCGTAGCGACGCGACGTAAGAATCTTAGAGTATATTAAAACTTACGGGAATTTCAATCACGCAGTTTGCATTGTGTTTGGCCCGTACGCGACTTTGTGTTTGGATTCCTGTGCGACAACTACTACGATCGTCCCTTCCGTTTTCCAACAATATACCGGGTATTCGCGCGGTGGCGTTATATCGCTCTGACCTATCCGCTTTCATATAGCCCCCTTCCTCCCTTAATATCGTCCCTCGAGTAAATAGTTTCCAGTTTCCTGTCGTCGCCGCCTTCGGCCGCTATCTACCATCAATTCTGAACCTTCACGAGGATCGTAAGATAACCACGCTGGGCGAGTACGCCGTACAACACCTCTGTCGCCTGATGATTTTCCCCTTTAAAGTGTTTCGGGGGAGTACTGTATATAGTTACGAGCGTACAATGCTCGTAAACCAGAAATAAGGATGACCGCGACCTGTCAACCACCACAAACGCTTCACCGATACTTTATTAGACAAGACATTTGTTGCGCGAGAACGTTACGATGTGTGTTTTAATCGATATAGATAATTATAGTACGCAAGTTCCGTTAGGATTGAGAAAGTTTCTCTTACGATATTCTGGGAAGACTTGTCGTATAAAATTATAAATCGTCGTTGATCGCTATTTCTCAAATTCTATACGTTTCGAAAATATGATTAATAAATATTAATATGTAATAAATAACTTCATATGCATTTCTATGTATAATTTTCTTAGTTTTTCGCTTCTCGAGTCTTCTCTTTACGTATTCCTCAAGTATTTTTAAAAACTTCCGAATGAAGGTTATACCGGGGCAAATATCGATCTCGAGTGAGAAATTCGTCTCGACCGCGGTAATATTGGACGACGGTGTTTCCCGGTTTAAAGAGACTCGGGCGAAGTTGTACGCAGTTTTGCCGGGTTTAAAAGTTTAAGAAGGCGGAAGTACGACGGTGTATCCGAGTGTAGCCGGCGGTGGCAGCGGCGGCGGCGGCGGCGAGGGTGTCTCGTGGCATAAATGGAAAGACACAAATGTATCCAGAAGGCGAGTAAACAGCGGGCCGACTGGTTGCAGCCTAGCTCGCGGTTCAATATAAATGTAAATTGGAACAGATTCGAGCGGGCGCTGCGGAACACGTTTGGCTCCGAAGCCCAAGCTCTTCCACCGCGGCCCTCTCTCCGGCTTTTCTAGATTCCGCTGACCCTTTCGACTTTCTTGTTTACACACCTACACACCTGGAGTAGACCGACGGGAAAATTTCATTTTCATTCCGCCGTACGCGCCTCGAAAACGACGGACGCATCTCGCATAGGCGAGACGACGAATATTGCCCCCTGATCGATCGTTTGAAAAACCGCTTCCGTACACGAACACATCCTTCTCAATTAAATTTTGACGGTCATTTGGTTTCCTGAATAAAATCCATATCCACGTATCTGTGTAGAACAGTTGCTATTGGTACCACAGACGACGCGTTATTTCCGGTCGGTGTCGCGCGCATTAATCATTGCTTCATTAAATGGGAAAAAAACTTTCCCGATTGGTCAAATACATCGAGCAAATCCGTAAAAAAAAAAAAAGGAAAATATATTGGCAAAGTAACATGTGCTTTTGATGCGTGAAATGAAGCGTATGAAACACGTGTAAATTGAAAATTCATGAAATAACGACGCGAATATGTCCGTTCTAAAGCGGAAGATATCCGAGATATTTTAACAGAATTCTCGTCGCACATTCACATATTTCAAATTATATGCGCCACGCTAGGAGGAATGCATTTCATACATAACAGGATGCTGACATAGTGTTTTAACGTTATTCAAGACACGCGTTCTGCGCGCGCTCTTACGTCATTACTCTCTTCTTATTTCGCCACGTATACATATTACACTTAATAGGAGTGTAAAGGCGTCCTGAAACATGAGCGTGATCGCTTGAAAGTGGCGTACAATCCGCGCGTTACAGCGAATTACAACAGTAGTTACCGGGGTCCCGCGAGCCGCTATTTAGCCTCGTAGAAAGAAGTTAACGAGTAAGAGATAGCGTGAGATACCGATAGATTAAGAAGACTAGACGGTTGGCGGCGGGCAGGATATCTCGGCGAAGACGGCTCTATCACGCTAATCTAAGACACGATCTAGCGCCGGCGCTAATCTCGTTCCAGCACGAAGTGCAGTCCGTGCCTTACCCTTTCCGTTGCCGCTGACGTCCAATCTGAAGTTGTCGGAACCCCTTTGCCCGTCGACAAGTTGACCAAGTCCCCCGGAGAGGTAACCCGCTTCTTCGCGGCCATCATACGTCCTGTCGGAAAGGTCAACCTCGGAGCCCCTCTTGATTCCTTGGGGCATGGAATACGAGACGAGACCCTCTGGAAGAAGAAATAAGGAGAAGCCCCTGGATATAAGGAATATATAAGCTCCTGAACTATGCATCATCACGTTGCTACGTGGTCGGGCCGTGAACGTTTTCTCCCGACGGTACGTGATAAGATTGCGGACGGTTATACGCGGATAAAGCGCGCATCGTCGGGGAAGAAGTAACGAGGGTCAACATTTTTAATCTTGGCGCTCCGGAGGATTACCGGGGGATCGATCTGAAGGCGGATATCGCGCAATAACTAGACTGGAAACTCCGTGTGTTTCAATTCTCCTTTCGTTTCCACGATGTGTCGCGCGAGTTTTCGTTAAAAATGCGTCGAAGCAAGCGACTTATGTCAGAGGCGAAATGTACTCGTAGATTGTCAGACGTCAATAAGCACGAATGAGTTACACTCGGTTTGGTACTTGGGAGGGAAATGTCGCACCGTCCCGTCCGTCCGCTCATGCCAATAATCGAGCATTTTTCCGTTCGATGGCAGTAAATTGTTTTCACCGATTTCAGTATGAAATATGCACAGAGATATGCTTCTCTCGCGCACTTTGCGATGTTTACGTTGAAAACGGTTGAAAAAAACCATTTTGATTAAAGCGCCGATAAAATGAAAAAATCGATTCGATTTGCGCAGCTTTTTCATCGATAAAACTGGAAATAATAAAGTGTTGCGCGTATTTATCGTAACTATCCGTAGTTTCATTTCCGTCGACGACAATAATGATAAAGCCTTGTCAAACGTAGAAAGTATCTCATTACGATAATTATGGAACATAATTTTACGTCTTCTCTCCCTTCTATGTATCTTCCCTTTGCCATTTGCATGGTTACAGTCCTTAGTCGGTAATGGCCTGAACGTTCGCTAATGCCATTCAGTAAGTCACAATTTATTTTGCAAGTCAATATTATTGGCAGCCGCTGCAATTATGCGTTTAAACGATATAACGATGGTGGGAGGGCTATGCGGATGACACAGTTAGCGGCTGCCGTATAGTTCGTCGTTGGTTGGATTAATGTAGACGCAGCTGTGGCTCACGGCCTACGGTGATCGTAAATCTATGTTAATCTCAGATTCGGGAGAGACTGACGCGTTACATCGCGTCGGCATCTTGTCAGATAGCCAGCGCGAAGGTTGACGATTCACGAAAATTCAAGTTCCGTCTTGTGGCGAATAAAATGCGAATTAATTACATACGCTTCAATTACGTTGTCATATATTTTCATACGTAAACGACATTGTCTAACACTGTTAAGTACAATGTTAAGACTTCCCTTATAGAAAATTAATAAAGTGATTAATTACTTATATCAATTTAATACTCCCAGTATTAAGTTTCTGTTAGGGTTTCTTATTGTGGACAAATATATAGATTTCTTCAGCGAACAGGAACAAGAATAAAGATCTTGAACTTTACGGTTAAATCTGTATCTGTCGAATACCGGCACTGAATAAAAAATTTCCCATCGTGTTCCTTTTTCGTGTACCTTTTCCCGGGTTCCAACCACTAAGCTAAGGCATAAATTTAAGTTACTGTTGAAATTGTGGTCGTTGCGGTCAGAAAGTTCCGGGAAAATGGACTACGTAACCAATGTAAAATATAAAATGCATGATGTGTGGCACGCAAGCGATTCCAAAGGGATTTCTACCGCTTGTTTTCAATTTTATCTTTATAAGTGACAGTGTGTAGTAGGTGTTGATGAAATCACATATAATTGGCTTCACTTCTATACAGCGTAAAATTGATTTGTCACGGTAGTTATTAACACGACGGAGTAACGGCCCTCTAATTTGATTTAAAAAAAATATATCAAATTATATCTTTTTACATGTCGAATAATTTTATATATTGCATCACCATTTTGCGTGTTGCGCGTTAGTGATAAAATTTTTTCAGATTGGGCTAAAATATTTTTTTTTTCGTTTATTTGCAAGCAGTTAAAATTGCAATAAAAAATATATATGGTAAACATTATGGGTTGAAACGTATGTCGGATCCGACTATTTTCGCCGCCCGTTTGCGAAGTGGACGGCAAATTGCTTGTAAATAAATAGATGCTTGAGAAACGTGATAAAAATATGATTTAAAAAAAAAAAAGAATACGTCCATATATTTCACTCACCCGTCCAAGAACAGCCGTAAAGCTCTACGCGCATACACACTGTACGCATGTGAGAGGTGTAAGGGATGAAGCGGATTTTTGTTGCGACTATAGCTGGATCGAAGATCTGCTCCTCTTCCTTATATGGATTGTTATTGCCCAACAAAACCTGTAACAGAGAGAAGAACAGAACAATTGTTGATACGTACATAGAGAAAAATTATCATGACAAAGAGGAAAGCAAGAGAAATATATATGACAACGTTACCGAGGAAAGCTGTGCAATTTGAATTCAACAATTTATATCACCGTTGCATACGATATTTTTGCGAGGGGTTTTTATGTTACCATGTATACACAATGGAGACGCACGGTGAAATAGTTAACTTTAGTCACACCCAAATATTTCCGTTCCGGTTGAAAAGCAGGAAAACAAGCGCGCATTTCATAGCATCTGGTATAGAAGCCTGTTTTTTGCATTGTGTGTATATTTTTTTTTAGTTTATTATTCAGAGTATCGCGAATTTTTTATACTATACAATTTCCCCGAAAGATAGCATTGAAAAAAAAATACACGTTTTTAATTTTATTGCCGCACGGACTACGCATGACATTTTCAAATACGTCGCGATTATAGTATTTTTTTCCAAACCTACTGTTTCAATCTCAAAATGCCGTTTTAATGCCACACACACATATACATATCATGCATCAATTTGGCGTCGCAAATGAATTTGTAGGAAGATAACGTCTATACGATTCGTTCATCGCGATGCATGGGGACGCGCGACAGTTGTGTTTAGGGATAGGATCGTCCGATGTTCATTGGAACATGCTTACAGCTTACTAAGAACGAATCTCACGGGCCGGAAGCGCCATTTTCCGGATCCGATTAGTAAACAATGGTCCGTCGTGAACCTCCTCTAAATGTAAATGCAAGCGTTAAATCTGAACTGGAAGCAGGTCTCTTCCTATCCTTGCTTCTCCCTGCGCTGTATACACATTCGCGTCCCCCGCATGTCGTATCGCGTGTCGCAGAGAGACGTACATATAGGTCGTCGCCATCGACGAACACGAGATTAACATTGAAATACGAACGTCAGCGCGCGTCCGAGGAAGAGATCAAGCACGCCGATATGATCCACCCAGTTGTTTGAGAAACAAGGTCTTAAATTCGACATATGTGTATATTACCGCGTGTACTCTGATAGACATGTTAGGGATAATAATACTGTATCTGCACCCTCGTGTTCGAGCTTGGAGCGCTATGTAATTCAGTAGCTGTGTCTGTATCCTGTTCTGTTTTGCATTCTGAGCATTTGGATGGATTAGCGGTTCTCATCCCATCATTATATTCGCGTCGTAAAATTTTATCTGTAATTACAAGCTTATCTTAGCGTCCTAAAACATTAATAATACCATTAAATAACATAATATAGCTGTGAATTATAAAGAAGATATTTTTTTTCTGTGATATTATTAAATATTTATCTTACAAAATTATTTGATTTTCTTTTTCTGGCGTTAAAGTAAAGAAATTAGCGACTAAGTTCTTTTCTTTTTATTAAGCTGGTCAGAAAGCTGGTGTGGACAGATTGATATATTTGTTTTCATATTGACCCAACCGTATTTTCTACAAAATAGGTAGAACAGATTGAGCTTAATAAATGTTTTAACGACTATTAATATTCAATTTTATATCCTCTTTTACATGCATTTCTCAAGATTGTTATTTATCAACTATATTATCTTTATTAATAACTTTATTTCTATCTTTAATTTTATCTTTATTAATTGTAGTTAATTTCTTTTTTTTTAAAGAAAAATTTACTTAATTATTTTAATTTTTCTCATTTTTTAACAAGCGCTTTTTGTTATGTATTATCTTATTTATCTTAAAGCTATGTTTATATTTGTAATTTATTATCATTAGTCTTCAAAAAAATGATTAATGTAATCAGTTTAAAAATGATTTCTTTTTACAAAAATTAAAAAGATTGTTAACTATAACAACTTCTATTTTTCTTATGCTCTACGATCAATATAGGTACTGCTTAATTGCCATTCACGTTAGTACGAAGTAATCTGTATCGCTGTATAGATTATAGAATCGTGTAGAGAGCAAACATGACACGTTGAATCGTTCAAACACGCTGACCGTCGTCATCCTGGAGAGCAACGGGTCTGCGTTGAAATATGAATATTCGCACGATACCAGGCACATCTCTCTCTCTCTCTCTCTCTGTACCGAAAACCGAGTGCGGTCTAAACACCGTGCACAAGCGTAGTAGATATGACACAAACGCTAATATGCTTTACACACAGAAACGGACTCGTGGCTCGAGCTGGACATCAGCGACCATTGGCCTTTGCTTTGATTTGTGTTAGCGGCAGTGCGCCGCGATTAGAATTTCTAACCAGGAATCTGTTATTTCGCGTTAATCATATAAAGCGCAGTATCTGATGTCCATAGTCGCTGAGGTAGAGGTCGAAACTCAGAATATCCGCGCGCGGCGGCCGCTAGTAGAGCGTCGTTTTGGAATTTCAGAATTACAGCGTGTAGTGGAATATTTCCACGTATATATCCCGACGTGAAATATTTATATGATAGTTATTTACCTTTTGTTCATTTATTTTATATATATATACGGGCAACCGGCGCTCTCTTTTATTAGCGAGTGCAGCAGAGACTACACAATATTATAAATATATAGGAATATTATGTAAAGCGAACGTAACAAAAGTAGAATGTAAATTAAGGAACAAAGTAAAACTTGTAAAATTAATTTAAATTTGTCCGAATGTAATTCTTAAATTTTATCGCGTGGACAATACGTAATGTGTTATAAAATCGTGATCTTAATACGTTTATTACAGATGGTATAAAGAGTCCGCAGCTGTAAACGGCCCACGGAGTTGTAAACGGCACGCAAATGGAACGTGCCTCTCTTAAACGGGTGGGCCGCAACGGCGGAATGGAGTTTCCGCTATATCGGCCGTTTCGAAACGACCGACCGCGGATGCATTATAACTGCAACTGCACCGTGCTGGAATACAAGCCATGCCGGGATCTACGCGATAGGAATAATTAATACACCTATATATAAGGACCGCCACGGGGTAGGAGACGACGCTTCTACGATATCGTCTCACCGACACATAAAATTGATGTCTATGCGCTAGCGGCAAGTAGAATCTCTCCTCCTGAACGCTTCGCCAAAGTCTATAATTTGTCGGCGCGAGGCTGAGAATAGTTTCGATTATAGACATCATCATACACTAAGTGACATTTCGAATAATATGTCTATGAATAATTGAGGGATGTATAATAATATATCTGTATAATACATACATATATATATATATATATATATATATATATATATATATATATATATTGATGTTATCTATTAATGTTAAATTACTTTTGGTACCTTTTATATACACAATGGTTATAGAGCTTTTGATTTTTAGTTGCCTTGAATTCATTCAATATTTTTAAAACAATAGACCGAAATGTGTCTTAGGGATACCTTCTATATGAATTGAATAACCTATGTCATTTTAACTTTTCTTTATTAAATTTGTTTATCGTGCGAAATGATTTTCGTGTTTTTCGCGAAAATATTGCTAGCCATATCAATATACGGTTTTTAATAACCATTGCGATTTTTTCGCATATGGGGGACGGTTGTTAAATAAAACCGAAGATAAAATTTTGTGGTGTCGTAACGCTTATTGTTGAAACTCCAAAAGTACTTCACCGGTAATACCGGATAATACGATTGTGAAGTGACAGCTGTAAAAAATGTTTACCGGGCGTTGTAGAAATTTTACGGGATTTCACGCTGTTGCGATTATACACACATATGTATATTAAATTCCGCACGTAGTGCTTTTTAATTTCGGTACATCTCGGGCGTTAAAATTCGCATCGTGTCGCGAATACAATATATCGACGAACTTTTAGGCGTGTGTGTGTGTGTGTGTGTTTTTTATATTCATACAATTAATTCCATCGATTTCGCTTATATCGCGGAACAGTCGACCTCGTTTCGCCTCGGTAATAAAAAGTCTCGCACCTTATCCTGGAGATCTCCTTCCACCGTAAGCGCAAAGAAACAGCTCTCAGGAGAGAGCCTGAGAAGGTTAGTGGGTCGATCGAACGTATTTCGGTGCAAGACAACAAAAGAAGGGAAGTTTATGTTATGCTTGCGCGTTTATGGCCATCTCGCTTTAAGCTGCTCGAGATTGCTCCGTTTTAAACGCGACCGTACACCATGTACTTTAAAACAATTATAGGCACACCAACTTTGCGACCAACAATCTCTTAAAACTATAATTTTCCAGGTAAATGAAAATCGTTCCATCTACTCTCGCAGTTCTCTTTAACGCGCGTCGTAATCGCCCTGTGGAAATCGTCGTAATTATCTTCTCTGACTATTAAAAAAAATTGCCCCGGTAAAATAGCAGAGATATTGATTACCGTTTACAGTTTTCGAATAATATAACGTTGTTATAACGACGATAATTTTGTTTTTAATAATACGTGACTTTATATCATGTGATTAAAACATTATATTATATGATTAAAAATTGACACAAAATTACTATTAGAATCGATGATACACCAACTTGGGATGGCTTTCCTTAGCTTACCGAGGTCAGGAGGTCGAAGGCAGGTAACTCGGGTAGACGGATCGTCTTACGGTGGCGAAAAAGCGGAACGGGCTTACGCGGCGCGTCCTATTTCCGCCCGTCCGGCGTGTAGGCAATTACTTCCCCGGGGCGCTCTCGTGGAAAGGAGACCGCTTCTAATCTGTTTGCGGCCGAAATCAAGCTTTCTGCATTTCTCCTCAGTGAAGACGGTTTCATTTTAACGCCTTTAATTTCACACCAAAGAACCATATCTCGTACCGCACGTTTATTGATTTTTATTTGCATCCTCTTTCACTAGATGGCCTGTATTATTTAACACGTTAAACTTTCTTTCAATAATCACTGAGAATCTTTGTTATTAACCCGTAGACTTACCGTGACTCGCGACATTGTGGCAAATTCACGCTCCATTCTAATCTGTCTGTAGCTGATATTAGGTACCCTAATACTCTACTAACGAACAAGTGTTTAATTGTAACATCCCTAATTCAAAGCGGAAGGAACCCTCCT